ACCAGGGTGTTAAACCCCCTTCCTATCAGGCCATTTTTTCAGTACTTGGTGCTGCGCTCCTTTGACACTTTCATTAGTGTTGCTTGACTGAATATCGTATCGGTTTTTTTTTGGGGGGGAGATATTAGAGCTGTCTTTTGGTGGTATTTATCACCACGGTTTTTTTATACTATAAAGAATAAAAAGCAGGAAGTTTGCTAAACTTCCATACCCAAATTGGCCAAAGGCAATGCTTTGTACACACAAACCACTCCGGTTTAGTGTTAACAGCAATAGATGGCCCTAGACCTATTGCTCGCATACTGTATATGGTGATATTGAACATGTGGTATAATCTAAGCATGTAGGCACACCCAATGTGTTTTGAGCTTGTGTAGGTGGGAGACTTAAAATTGTTTACATTTTTAAACATGTTTGTTTAGCTTTGATCACATAGGGGGCTAATAAGCTCCCTATGTGATGGCACCTGTACAGTGACGGGTTCCCTATAGAGACATCAGGGGGTCTATTGAACCCCTAAGTTCACCTAGGAACTCCCAAGGAAGCTGATAAAGCAAGAGTCATTGTCTTTGTAGAGATTTCCTCTCCCTTTTGGGTTGGAAAGAAAAAGGAAAGAAATTAAGAAATTCAATGTTAAGGACTTGGCTATACATACTGTGTAAGCTTTTTGGGAGTTTCCACAGTATTTATAGCTAATTTATATAAAGTGGGGTTTTTGGTTAATCTTTTGAGGCTTATTTTTGATGGCCTTAAGATGTATTTAATTAAAAAAAAATAAGTGCTCCATTTATCAAGGTCATGTTGCACCAAAAGCCCATCTCTTTGCTAAAGACATGCAGAGTATTTGCAGAATGCAGCTCATCTAAATGAACCCTTTGCTGAATATCATAACTAGTAACTGTAATGGGCTCCTACGCTATCTTCCTCTAACAACTGTCTGCGACTCAGGCCTCCTATTGCTGCCAACTTGCAGTACAGATGTCCTCCCCAAGCAACCATGCGTAACCATATTGCACAGCCTACTTTAAAACCCAGATGCAGCCCTTGTGGTCTACCATTCCATCTCTTGCACTGATTAGGCAGAACTGGTAAATATTTTAGAGGTTAGAAGAGCTTGGTCCTGATGTGTACTGTTTTGTCCTAACTCAGACAGAAAATATCCCTGGTGGTTTAATAAGTGAGCTGCTAACATGTGTGGAAGTAAAAGCCTGTGACAGGTTGGGTTGTGGGAGTACAGCTGAATGACATTGCTGGAAAGAGCAATATGTTAAACTTATGAAGGATCTCAATGGAAATTTTAAATGGTCCTATATATCTTCACTCAACTATTTGGTAAAGGTTTATCTTAACAAAAAAAAAATCTCTTCTTTCTCTCCTCTCTTCTTTCTCTCCTCTCTTCTTTCTCTCTTCTTTCTCTCTTCTTTCTCTCTTCTTTCTCTCTTCTTTCTCTCTTCTTCTTTCTCTCTTCTTCTTTCTCTCTCTTCTTCTTCTTCTTCTTTCTCTTTCTTCTTCTTCTTCTTCTCTCTCTTCTTCTTCTTCTTCTTTCTCTCTCTTCTTCTTCTTCTTCTTCTTCTTCTTTCTCTCTCTTCTTCTTCTTCTTCTTCTTCTTCTTTCTCTCTCTTCTTCTTCTTCTTCTTCTTCTTCTTTCTCTCTCTTCTTCTTCTTCTTCTTCTTCTTCTTTCTCTCTCTTCTTCTTCTTCTTCTTCTTCTTCTTTCTCTCTCTTCTTCTTCTTCTTCTTCTTCTTCTTTCTCTCTCTTCTTCTTCTTCTTCTTCTTCTTCTTTCTCTCTCTTCTTCTTCTTCTTCTTCTTCTTCTTTCTCTCTCTTCTTCTTCTTCTTCTTCTTCTTCTTTCTCTCTCTTCTTCTTCTTCTTCTTCTTCTTCTTTCTCTCTCTTCTTCTTCTTCTTCTTCTTCTTCTTTCTCTCTCTTCTTCTTCTTCTTCTTCTTCTTCTTTCTCTCTCTTCTTCTTCTTCTTCTTCTTCTTCTTTCTCTCTCTTCTTCTTCTTCTTCTTCTTCTTCTTTCTCTCTCTTCTTCTTCTTCTTCTTCTTCTTCTTTCTCTCTCTTCTTCTTCTTCTTCTTCTTCTTCTTTCTCTCTCTTCTTCTTCTTCTTCTTCTTCTTCTTTCTCTCTCTTCTTCTTCTTCTTCTTCTTCTTCTTTCTCTCTCTTCTTCTTCTTCTTCTTCTTCTTCTTTCTCTCTCTTCTTCTTCTTCTTCTTCTTCTTCTTTCTCTCTCTTCTTCTTCTTCTTCTTCTTCTTCTTTCTCTCTCTTCTTCTTCTTCTTCTTCTTCTTCTTTCTCTCTCTTCTTCTTCTTCTTCTTCTTCTTCTTTCTCTCTCTTCTTCTTCTTCTTCTTCTTCTTCTTTCTCTCTCTTCTTCTTCTTCTTCTTCTTCTTCTTTCTCTCTCTTCTTCTTCTTCTTCTTCTTCTTCTTTCTCTCTCTTCTTCTTCTTCTTCTTCTTCTTCTTTCTCTCTCTTCTTCTTCTTCTTCTTCTTCTTCTTTCTCTCTCTTCTTCTTCTTCTTCTTCTTCTTCTTTCTCTCTCTTCTTCTTCTTCTTCTTCTTCTTCTTTCTCTCTCTTCTTCTTCTTCTTCTTCTTCTTCTTTCTCTCTCTTCTTCTTCTTCTTCTTCTTCTTCTTTCTCTCTCTTCTTCTTCTTCTTCTTCTTCTTCTTTCTCTCTCTTCTTCTTCTTCTTCTTCTTCTTCTTTCTCTCTCTTCTTCTTCTTCTTCTTCTTCTTCTTTCTCTCTCTTCTTCTTCTTCTTCTTCTTCTTCTTTCTCTCTCTTCTTCTTCTTCTTCTTCTTCTTCTTTCTCTCTCTTCTTCTTCTTCTTCTTCTTCTTCTTTCTCTCTCTTCTTCTTCTTCTTCTTCTTCTTCTTTCTCTCTCTTCTTCTTCTTCTTCTTCTTCTTCTTTCTCTCTCTTCTTCTTCTTCTTCTTCTTCTTCTTTCTCTCTCTTCTTCTTCTTCTTCTTCTTCTTCTTTCTCTCTCTTCTTCTTCTTCTTCTTCTTCTTCTTTCTCTCTCTTCTTCTTCTTCTTCTTCTTCTTCTTTCTCTCTCTTCTTCTTCTTCTTCTTCTTCTTTCTCTCTCTTCCCATGCCAATAGGCAATCATTGGTTTTCACATGTTTGAGCGTTTTACAGAGCATAGGAAGGCGCTGTAAAACGGCCAGGTGTGAACCAGGCCTTAGGGCTAGGGATGTTCAGATACCAGGTACCAAAGTCGGTACATGTACAGATACTTTTCCAGCTCAAAGACTAGACTAGAGAAATAAAAAGTTGGGCGGCAGCTGTCATTTTTTTAAAGAGCATACGGAGCATCCCTGTTTTTAATGTATGATTTTGTTTTTTTTTATAAGTGATGCACCGATACTTAC